CTGGCGGTGCGGTAGAAAGCACGATGCGAGGGCAGAGTTAAAACCCGAGCGATGTTTAAAGTTCGTGCCCATCTGCCACGGAGCGTTGTTAATTTATAAGAAAAACATCTTCGCTTGTAGCTGGCACGTGGAAAAGTCCTGGATAGGTTTTGGGCACGTTGAACACGGGTTTGGGTACCATCGCTGGGAGAAATTATTAAATCGGGGTGCAGGGGCCGTCTGGAGGAGGGAAGAAGCTCTGTGGGGCCGTGCTGGGCACCCGTCTCGTTTCAGTGGTGAGAAACCCCCATTTGAGGCTTTGGGAGCTCTGTGGTTTCTTCCTGAGATGAACATCTTGTGCTCTTGCTCACAGGGACGCCATGGATACGACCGGCCACAGCCTCCTCCTCCTCCAGCAGCTGAACATGCAGCGGGAGTTTGGCTTTCTGTGCGACTGCACAGTTGCCATTGGAGATGTTTACTTCAAAGCCCACAGAGCAGTGCTTGCTGCTTTTTCAAACTATTTTAAGATGATATTTATTCATCAGACGAGGTAAGGACACGTAGCTCTCCTACCTTTTAACCGCCCTGCTCAACTTTCTGCTTTTTCCTCTTTCTAAAGGTATTATAGTCTAAAAGTAGGGATGTTAGATGGCCAGAGATTATTTTCCTAACCCAACACACACCTCGGATCTAGAAACATTCCCGGTCCAGAATGTGCTGTCCTTTAAAAACACCCTCTTAGTCAGCATACGCCAACATTCAGGCCCCGCATTTTGAAGATGAGACATTTGCGTGACCAGAGAAAATAAACATGTAAGTACCACAGTCTTCCTGCAGCGAGACCTCCCAGATTTGCAATCTAGGGATGTACAGATACCTCCTGCCCATATGCAGCATGTCCATTACTTTGTGTTTGCTTGTAGGCAAGCGTGCTGGGTGGACTGTCCCTCCTGGACAAGGATCCATGGGCTTGAAGCTGTCAAGAAGCCGTAGCCTTATCGTAGCCTTATCTCAGTTCTGCGCTTCAGACTCTTGCAGATAAGGGCCGAGACTGAGATCATAAATTTATTTCAAGCTGCTGTTCAGATGCTTCACCCCACCAGGTCAGGAGTGGTTCTGCAGGTATAACGACAGCGGTGCCAAGGTCTAATCTCACCTCTGAGCTGGAGCTTGTTGCTTGTAATTGATTAAACCCTTCTCCATTCTCCTTCCTTTTGGAGGGTCGTGGCCCCCCAGCACCTTTGCAGGATAGTCATTAGCCATCAGCCACCTAGACATTCGTCTGGGAGTGAGAAGATCAGTAACTTCCTTTCTGATAGATGTTGTTTACTGACACTGAAGTGCAAAGCTCATAAAGATTGCACAGTAGCAGCAGCTGAATTTATTACTTAAACCCTCAAATATTTTTTGCCTGCTATTACTGGAGTGGCACACACCGGTAACGTGTAGCTTGCATGGCATTGCCATGGTGCCGTGCAGTGGCAATTGGCTGTGTGTGCGAGTGACAGGGTGGCTGGGGTCTGGCTACTCTCACCATCCCTGGCTGCAGTTGTGCCCCCGGTCTTTATAATCCCAGGGATATGTACACGCTCAGGCACTTGGCTTTGCAAACAGGGCACACGCACTCCTGCAGGTCTGGGTGGGGAGTGCTGCTCGTTGTGAACTGGGAGGCGGGCAGCAGCGCCCACGCTGTGACAGTGAATGGGCAGGTAATGGATCAGCACCGTGGTTTGGAGCCCAGTATGTACTTAATCATCTGTCTTGTTTCAGCGAATGCATAAAGATTCAGCCTGCAGACATCCAGCCTGACATATTTAGTTACTTGTTGCATATCATGTACACCGGGAAGGGGCCCAAGCAGACCGTCAGCCAGAGCCGGCTGGAGGAGGGCATCCGCTTTCTCCACGCAGACCACCTCTCCCATATCGCCATCGAGATGAACCAAGCCTTCTCCCCAGAGCCGGTCCAGTCTTCAAACTTGTACGGCATCCAGATCTCAACCGCACACAAACCAGTGAAGGAACGCCCAGGACCAAAGGAGACTCTGCCCAAGGCGGGCAGCAGGGCCGCTGCCCCAGGCGACCACCCGCAGCTGCAGCTCTCCCTGGCCATTGGTCTGGACGACAGCTCCCTCGACCAGCAGGCTGCTCGCCCCTCCACTCAGCCCGCCGCTCTCGCCAAGCCTCCAGAAGAGCATCCCAAGCTCTCGGTCTCCATAAAGCAGGAGAGGTGTGACTCGGAGCCCGTGGTGTCCCAGAGCTGCACCCCTCCATCTCCAGAGGTCGTGAGCCCCATCTTTGCCAAGGCCAGCCTCAGGGTGCACTTGTGTCACTACTGCGGGGAGCGTTTCGACTCCCGGGGAGGGCTGCGACAGCACTTGCACACCCACGTCTCGGGCTCGCTGCCCTTTGGGGTGCCGGCCTCCATCCTGGAGAGCAGCGACCTGGGGGAAGTGCAGCCTCTGGCTGAGGACAGGGAGGCTGGGGACAGCCACCGGCTCAGCACCTTCCTGCTCAGGGAGGATGAGCATCCGCTGGAGCATCCGAGCTGCGGCGACCTGCAGCCTCTGCAGATCGGCCAGCTCTCCCTCGTCTCCAAGGACCACGAGCCGGTAGAGTTGAACTGTAACTTTTCTTTCTCTAGAAAGAGAAAAATCAGTTGCACCGTCTGTGGCCGCACGTTCTTCCGCAAGAGCCAGCTGCTGGAGCACATGTACACGCACAGAGGGAAGCAGCACAAGTACAGCCGCTGCCAGCGGCTGGAGAGCCCCGCGACCGCCAGGTTTCATCCCTACTGTGACAGTGAGAGTGTGGGGAAAAGCTCTGGTTTATCCCAAGACCACTTGGATGAATGTATTCTGGAGTCAGATCTCATCCAAGAAAGCGTTGATACGATCCTGGTAGAGTAGTTCTCCCCCTGCGCAGCTGCTAGGTGCTGAAACTGGATATTTTGGCACTTTCCACCTAGTGAGCAGCTGCTCTCTGGAGCTGATTTTGTTCAACCACCATTCCATTGCCTCTGAGATAACTGTGAAGAACTGTGTACTTCGATTTGTGTACTTGCTTTTTTACTTCTCTAACTTTTAAACTCAAGCTAATTACCATCTAAGTCCTTCTTGGAAGCCTGTGCAACTCAGTTACATTTTTCATAAATGTAAACTCACTCCTGCTCTGCTTTACTAGCGTTAAGGTTGTATTGCTGGGTGTGAGGTTTAAACGTTGTCCGATACGCTGTGCGGTGCCTGGACTGATTGTGTCCCATAGAATTGCTCTTCTGAAACTAGATGGAGGGAAATGTAGAGGGAAATACGTATTGTGTTTCCCAAACAGTTTGTTTTTAATTAAAATAAATATCTCAAGGAGATGAATCCTGAAGTTTGTGTTGTATAACTGCAGTTAATAAATCTCTGCATAAATACGTGTGGGAGCCATGAGGCTGATCCGCAGGGAACTGGTGGCACTGGTGTAGGGGTGGCAAACTTCACTTTGACAAGCCCTGCACTCCTCAGCAGTGCAATCTTTTACATTTACTTTTAGACTTAGGGGTTTGCATGTGTTTTTCTTCATTTCCCTTGTCGACCACTACTGCATGAGCCCCTCTAGGACCACATCCCGTTATTGGACCATATATATTCTCTGCAAGGAGGAATGAAAGCTGCAAAGTGTCCTTTCCTTTCAGAGTGTAAGCACATCCTAACCTAAGTCTTTACAGGATTAAATACCACACACACTTTTCCAAGTGAAAATAATTTCTGAATCTGTGAACAGTAGCCACATTCTTAAATATTACAGCCTGTATATTTGCTGAGAACAATATAATGTTTTATTTCTTCTCTGCTTATGGAGCTGCCATAAAGTGCTAGAATGCAGGCTTTTTGTCTTTCATTTATCATTACTTTATATCTGAAGAATAACAACTTATCCAAGAGGAGTTTAAAATTGTACATGTCTCTTGGATTCATATTTTGTCCCTCTGTAGTTTCCTACCTGAGATACCCTATGCTTTTTACCAGATGGTCCCCATCCCATCCCTCAAGAGATGCTCTTTATCAGAAGTCCCCAAAGAGGCACACCAACTTCTTACAGCGCAGAGGTTTCTTTTGCAGCGAAGAGCAAAAGCCTTGTGAGCTGCTCTGGTAATCTCATTACCCAGTTTTTGAGAAGCTGGCGGCTCCCTGCCAGTCCTGCTGGAGTTGAGTCATTGCCTTCGGAAAGGGGGAGCCTGAACAATGGTGAGAACAGTTTATTGTCAAAATGCCCGCTCCAAAGCTCTTTGTAGTCGGGACCCTTGAGCTGTCTTCTTTGAAACTGTCCTGGAGCAAGAGCTGCAATTAAATCGCTGCTGAATTAAAAGACCATCTGAGGTCTTTGTAAGGGCGGCTGCTTCTCCTGGGCAGGGAGCTGCACACTCCAGGGGATGGCTTGGCCACTGAGGGCTGCCAAATTGTGTTTTAAGACAAAGGGGAAAAAAACAAACAGCCTCTGAGCCTGCCCGGATGAAGTTACAAAATGCACTCTGCGGTTTGGTGTGTGCTTGCCTGCGAGACTCAGCGCTCCTCTCGCTGTGGGTGCCCATTAAAGCCGCTCTGCTGTGAGCAGCTTAAAAAGCCTTTCTTTAAAACAAGCAAACAAATAAAACTGTGCTGACATCCAGGCCTGCAAATGCTGCATCTGAGCATGGAGCGATTCTCATGGACCGTTTCCTAGAAGAGAGCCTTCTGGGTCTCTCCAGGGGTAATAGCATCAGCTCAGTCACATCCCACACAGACCGCTTAGAACTAGGGCAAATGCCCCCCAGCTTCCACTGACCTCTATTTTTTAACATGATGGTTAAAAAAAAAAAAAAAGATATTTTATGGTCATTCCCTGTTTGTGTGGAACACTTTACTGGGTGGGCTGGCTTATCTGGGTGCTCCTTGCTTCCTTCGGGTTCCTACATTTAATTTAAGAACAGAGAGGAGTGTCTACTGGGTTGGGTATAGCTGTAGAGAAGAGCTAAAAGTGAGTTGTTAGGCTATTCAGTCAGTAGATGAGCACCTTGGAACTTCAACCAGATGCCTAACTTGCCTGAACTAATTGATACTGAAAGTCGAATGGCCCTTAATGGCTCTGCAGAGATAACCAGGGAGTGGTAATGGAGCTCAGTGCTGGGGACAGCAAGCACCGGTGCCTGAACCGGTGCCTGGAGACTCTGGGACATGCTGCTCATCTTCAGGTTTATGGGCAGGATTGTTTTGTTCACTTCTTGGCCATTAGAAGGGAGCTTTAATAAAAACTATGAACTCAGGTTAAAGATCCAAATGCCTATCAGCTCTACGTGCGTGTGTGTTGTAGGAGTGACTCTGCTGTACTGGCTGCAAATCCACCACTACAGCTGAAATCATACTGAAATCAGCACTGTGTTTGCGTGTGTGTTCCGTATGTCTTTGAAAAGTTATAACTGTAAGCAAATTTTTTTTTATTGTCACACCCCTTTTTAGGGTGTACTTTGGTTAAGCGTTGCACTACTGAACATCTGTGACATCAAACATCTGAGAAAGGCTTTTTTTTTTTTGCATCACTTGCAATACAAGAAAAGCATTTTCAGCAGTTTTATACAGCAAGTGTTGAAGTGCTGTTGTAATTAAAGCAGTAGAAAAAGCTTGAGAGACAGAAGTCATCAGCTCTGAGTTACGTTAACTTGAAAACATCATTCTCTGTAAGTCTTATGAATAGAAAATAATTTTAGAAGACAGTTACGTTTGCTAAGCAAGGGCAGCAGCTGCTCCTGGATCCATCATAAGAAGTTTTACTACTGTATGTAGAAGAATTACTGAGTGCTTAACCTTTATGCCGGTGCATGCTTGGAAATCTGCCTGACCTGCACAGCTGGGCTTGGCAAATGCTCATTGCTTGTGATTTTTTTTCCGTGAAAACAGAAAAGAATTTGTCACTGTGTGCAGATACTGGTGATTCCTTCCAGATAGCTGCAACTGGTTGATAGATGCACATGGGCTTAGGCAAAGAAAGACCCAGGGTGCTGATACTTGAAGGAGGTTTCTTGGGCTGCTCAGGGTGCAGTAACGGGTGTGGAATAAAGGGTGTTTATCCCCCCTTGTGGCATGGAGTGTAGGTATTTTACTGAGAAGCTTGCTTTCCACCACTGCAGTGCGGGCTGGAGGTGCCATTTGGTGGCACTCGTGCAATGAAAACATTAGGCTGAACTTCTCCTGCGTTACCGGTGCCAGAGGAGCGAGACTTCGATGTCTGTTACTTGCACAAGTTGTCCTTAAAAGGCAGTCCATCCCATCTCAGCGTTCACCTGCAAATGTTCCAATTTTACCTCTTCCACCTTGAATTTTGGGGCAGCTGGGGGAGAGCAATGCCGGCACTTGCCTGTTGGCTGCCCAGGAGGTGATGCTGATGGCCAGGATGTGCTCCCGCCATTCCACACAGGATAAAAAACCCTTCAGCTCATTTTGCCTTCAGCACAGACTGTGGTTACAACATGTGTCTTCAGTTGTCTGGCTACACCAGCCATTCGAGCTGGCTCTTCGCTCCCATGTCATCCGTCAAACCACTGCGAAATGGGGCGACAGCAGCACGGGGGGGATGTGGAAGGGCTGACAGCCCATCTGTGGATGCTGTGCCCCTCACCAGAGGGGTTTGGGATGTTTGTGGACACTGAGAAGGTTAAAAAGGGAAAAGAAATTTGCTGTCAGGATGTAAACCTGAAGCAGTGAGCAGTGCGGTTAAAAATAAAACCATGAAATAACTGCCATCACGAGCTTTCTAGAAAGACTGTAATGCTGATACTGGATAGTTTTCTACTATTTTGGAGGCAGAAGGTATAAATCCTGTGTAAGCGAAGCCTTCAGAGGTGCAGTGAAAAGTGATCTCAGCACATGCAATTCGGCATCACTGAATGGGACCGGGGGCTATCTGTGGCCAAGGCGGGAGGGTTCTGTCAGAGCCCTCCCACGGCAATCTGCCAACAGCAGGTCGTGCCGTATGGCTGCAGTCACCTTCAGCTTCCCTCTTTAATAAAACCCAGCCTTTTCTTTCCCCCTCCTTGCCCATGGTATGCCAAAAAGGACTGCAACTGAGTGGGGCTTCCCAGCAGTCCAGCACTAGGGAAATATATTCTGAGCAATAAGAAATTGGGAGGAAAAAGGTAATGAGGATGGATTTGCCCTAAATTACACACCAGTTAGATATTTACAACCAGAGCTGTGTCAGGACTGAATTCCCTGGGACGCAATCACAGCATTTACAGGATTTGCATGTTTCGTATGTAATGACACAACTTCAAAAGCAGCCTGAGAGGAAATATTTCCATTAACTTATTCTAAACCAGGCACGGCACCCTCAGAACAAAGGTGCAGCAAAGCTCAAAACCTTGCCTGCTGAATGAGGCTGGATTTCACCTGAGCCGAGATGCCTCTGGGAAGCTCTGCAGGGCTCCGGGCAGCACGGCAGCCCACGGGTGGTTTTACCCTCCCGGGATGTGTAGGGCAATGCTGATAAAAGCTTCCAGAGGCAGTCAGGCAAGTTCTAGTCCATGTGAACCCTCCTGTTACTGGGACAAACGGCGTAAGAAAATATTGTGTAAAGCCCTCTGTCCCTCCCGGCGCTGGATTTGCAGGCTGTAAAGCCAGCTATAGGCACTGGGGCAGGGAACCCAGGGTGGTGAGCTGTCGAGGGGTGACCCAGGGGAAGCAATCTCACGGTCGGCAGAAGTGCAGTGTCACCCATCAAGCCAGGCCTCCATGGTGCATGGGCTGAAAGCGCCGCAGTGCTGGGGTGGAGGCTGATCAGCATCACCCCTTTTCCCCCCAGCCATCCCGGAGGGACCCGCTCTGGCAGCGGTCGCCTCTGCCACCCTGCAGCAACGCCGGACCCAGCAGGGCAGGTGCTGAAGCCTGTCATT